GTGGGGGGGAGGGGGAGAGAGAGAGAGAGAGAGAAAAAAAAAATAAAAAAAAAATAAAAAAAAAATGAGAGACAAAGGCACTCTATTTATGGATAATTTTGACATCAATTATTATTCGTGGACATAGAAGTAATTGTCTGTTCGTGTTCCAGAGATAGCTAACATTTCGGCATAACCCTTCATCCTCACGTATTGTAATGGTCACAGCTAGCATGTATACATGATGTCCATTTCAACAATGTGTACGAGAGTGTGAGTGTACCCTCATTGTGTGTGTGTTTGTGTGTGGGGGGGGGAAGGGGAAGGGGGGGGGGGGGGGGGGGGGGTCGCTTGGGGGGTGTGCGTGTTCATTTTTTCTTTATTGTCTGGAATGGAAGCACCCTGTTTTACAAATATAATATCACTGCAATCGAAGTCTATATTAACGGTTACCAATAAAGGTGTGCGCTCACTTATAAAAATAACCATTCCCTCCTCAAACAAGCATTCTCATCTCCGATCCCCAACGAAAACTAGGTATATTTTACCATGACGGAGTCACGACGTTCTACACCCGAATGCTCCCCTTTGCTCCGATGGACCCATGCATGCATGAATATGAATCGGTATCCACCCGACAGGCGAGCACCATAATTCCAAACGTAACACCATCACATTTCCAACACGATTCATCACATTACCATCACATTTCCATCACGATTCCAACATGATATCCAACATGAAGTCATGTGTTCTCAACTGTTGATAAACTGTTGATCAACAGATGATCAACAGTTTACCAACACATAGTTCAACCTTTCAAACGTAGTTCAATAAAATATAAACAGATTCTCAACAGTTTACCAACGCAAAGTTCAACTGTTTATCATGTTACTTCATGTGGACTACATTAGTCACAAACGTTGGTTTCCTTCACTTCCTGTTGAGCATGGTGCATGTGTCAGGATAAACAGTTGAAAAACAGTTTTTAAACAGTTGAAAGGGGGTGAGGCCCCACGATAAAAAAAAAAAAAAAAAAACGATAATTTTTCAGTTGCAGGCAATGAGGGTGTTTCAACTTCCATCATGATCGTCTTATTATGATTGGGGAATGATGAGTGCATGGGATCGAAGGTAGAAGAAAGTGAATGAAAGTGGTGATATTGTTCTGCATTGGGGAGGGGGAAGCAGACCGCAGAAAGCGGCGCAAGAAATCAAGCTCGTGATTATCTTACTTGGGGATTTGCGAGTTGAGTTGAATATTCATCAGGATTTACTGTTGCAGATTATGCTGAGTCATTCTCTTTTGGAAGGTGTGAATGTATGATATCGAACGCAGGAGAAGGGTAAGGGAATGAATGGTCGTCACATTACTCTACTCCGAAAAAAAGAGAGGGTGTCTCAACTTCTATCATGACCGCCTTATTATGATTGGGGAATGGTAAGTGTAGGAGGATCGAAGGCAGAAAGAAGTAAATAAACGTGGTGCTACTACTCTGTATTGGGAAAAGGGGAAAAGCATACCGCCTATATCGGCGCAAGAAATCAAGCTCGTGATTATCCTATTTGGGGATTTGCGAGTTGATTGTAATCATTCATCAGTGTTTTCTGTCGTGGAGTGGGGCTAAGTCATTTTCATTCGGGTGTATGAATAGAGATAGAATGGAGATAGAGGACGGGTGAAGGGTAAGGGAATGAATGTCGTGACATTGTTCTACTCTAAGGAAAATGAGAAGCAATTCGCCGAATGGGTAGAGGGGAACACAAATAGGAAGATGTAAGAATACGACTACTCTTTTGAGTAGGTGAAGCGACAAAACCAGCTTCGACTCATGTTTGTCATACTTGAGGAGTTACGAGTCAATCGTAATCAAATGATTACGTTTTCGGTCTTCGATTACTTGATTGCATGATTATGCTGATAATGATGAGCCCGATCCAAGAAGGCCCGCAGTATAAGAAAAGGAGATTGGTTCAAGGTATGGAGTATCGAAGAGGTATACGCCGAAGTTAGAGCAAGTGAGAAGGCGCATGCGACCTTACTGCGACTCGCGAGTAAAAAAAAAAATATTGATTGTGTTTTCGTCTATGACAATCACGCTCGTTTCCAATAAGATCCAGTAAGCTACAACATAACTCATGATTTAAGAGTCATTCGGAATTAGGAGTTGGTATTTCAAACCTACGATCTCTCGTGCGAATTCATTACGGGATCATGACCCAGCGATTTGAAGAGAGCATATAACAAGGAAAGTACGCTGGGGATAAGGGGAAAGTAAGTCGCCAATTGACTTCCCATATGGATTGCCTGTTTGCATATGCCATCATGCGCATGCTTAATTCCTAATAAGGATTATCGCATTTAGGGGAACTGTATGTCAAGTACGATTGTATGCTTGGTTTTTACTACAGAAGATTGGAAACGGGAGCATGGTAAAAGATAAAGGCAAGCATTGGGGTTAAAAGACAGAGGTTTGTTGTTGCCGTAATTACAGGCATATGAAATACATCATCGTAGGGATGATGTTTGCTTCATTGAGATAAACAGATCGTCATTCGAAGCCACGGGGCAGAAGTTTTTACAATGGGATATATTGGGTGCGTCATGAGAAGAGCATGA